TTCACTTTCACTAATGAATGGTTACAATATTTAATTTAGTTCTGTTTTATTATTATTTTTATTATTTAGTTATTTTATTTATTTACAATCAAGCTACCATTACTTTGTTGCACTGTGATGTGCTGGACTTTACAAATATTTTATTGTGCTTTTGTTTTACTGTGCTATTATATATATATAATCAGAAGGTAATTTGAATGCAATTTTTACTTATTTACTTAATATTTATGAAGTTGTTTGTAATCTCAATGAAAAAGCTTTGGTTTTTTGCAGTACATTCGAGTCCAAGTGTTGCCAGCATTTCAGTGTTTTGTTGGGTGGGTGGAAGGGGGTTTCCTTATTTCTGGTTCTGTGGTTGTCACTGTATTTCAGCAATGCTCCAAGCTCCAAGTCAGCATGAAATAGTACAGGAAAGATGGCAGTGTGAAATTTTACGATCATGCAACAACCAAAAGATTTGAACTCAACATTCATTACCTAAAAGAAAACATTTGGGTGATATGACAACAAAAGAATTGTCGGCCGTTTTCACTGAAAGCGTGCGTCACTCTGGGATGCCTTGGGCAGCTCTTTTAAAGATGAGCTTTATTGTCATTCTGATGCGGTGCTATCCTCTAACTGCACTTAACTCTACCTATTCAGACTGTCCTAAAAGCTATAATCAGCACCCACAAAGCCATCTGTGTGTCTTATTCAAATGATTGTAGCCTGTTAACAGTGAAAGCTAATGCATTTTTGCTGCACAGCGCAAACATGATGGTTCTAGCTCTTGCTTGTGCAGTGCCTGGTTGATAAGGCAGAAAATTGCTTTTGGAGATCTCAATGTTACATTGTTTTCCTCCAAGTTCGAGGGGGTTGGAGAATAAATAGTTGCGCTCCAGGATAAGTGTGAATGGCTTTTTTTTTTAAAAAGGGGTCATATGACGTTGCTAAAAAGAACATTATGTTGTGTATTTGGTGTAATGCAATGTGTTTATGCGGTTTAAGGTTAAAAAAACACATTATTTTCCATATAATGTACATTATTGTTTCACCTCTATGCCCCGCCTTTCTGAAACGCGTAAATTTTTACAAAGCTCATCGGTCTGAAAAAGCGATGTGTGCTCTGATTGGCCGGCTATCCAGTGCGTTGTGATTGGCCGAATGCCTCAAGCGTGTGACGGAAATGTTACGCCCCTTACCATACTGTGATGCCGTCTCCCAGCAGGACGAGACTCAGTCCAGCTGCTCTGCTCGTGCACATCCCATCATCGGTACTCTTTTAGCAGTTCAGTCAATGTACTGTTAGGAGTAACTGAATAACTCGGGATATTGGTTCATTTCGCGTCAGAGGGAGTGTCAGGCACGTTTATAAACCGAATAGCTTAAGTAATTTGTGAATTAGTGCGTACTGGAGACGCGAACCGTTTCAAACGATTCAGTTCGATTTGGTGAACTGGTTCGACCGGTTCACTAAGATGATCCGGTTAAATAGAACGATTCGTTCGCAATCCAGACATCAAGAGACTAAACTAATAAAACCCATTACAAACGAGGCATTTGTTGCATCCAGTGGGGACATAATTACTGATTATAATGACTTATACTGTCAATGTGTATTGCGTATCGCGCTGCATAAACATAAAACCATGTCTGCATTTGTGATCAGAGAAACGACAAACAACAAACAACAAGCCTACTCTGCATTTACCTTGTTAACATTTGGAACTGTTCTTTTGTTCTCAACTCATTTGAACTGTGAGGCGGGAG